GGGGGGGGGGGGGGGGGACAAAAAAGTCACGAACGTCTAAACCACATGCGTGGAATATTTAAATAAAAGAAAATCCTCACAATTCTAGAACCCGTAAATTTACAGTCTTCGTTTATGCCTCGTAAATTTTTATTTCGATTCTGCAATTTATTTATTTTTCTCTTTCACGTCATGATCCTCGATACCGAGTCAAGGACCAGAACTAGTCAGTCTCGTAATGACCGAAGTTATTATACGCCTCGTAAACGCTCGACATTCCAAACATCGTTTCCTGCAATTTAGATGCACCGAGAGTGCAAGGAGACCTGGATGCAGCTTACCAGGAATTGCATTAGAGGTTCCGAAGCTTAACGTTGATCTTGCACCGTGTACGAATTACTGTATCAAGAATTGCAATGTTATCGCGTTCGATTATTTTCACAGTTAATGTAAATAAGTTATCGATCCTCGTTAATCGGTCAAGAGGGTCAATAATTGTCTATCAGCGTGGCCATTAGTCTATAATTTTGCCTCCCTCTCGCGACAAATACAAAAGCAACGCGCGACAATCGCATCCGTCGCGCCGTACATAAATCGGCAAGTAGCATCGCTGATAAATTAAGGCGTCTCACGCTACAGATACCATATCCCGGAATCGCGTGTATCGAAACGCGCATTAAAATACCCCCGATTGTCGAAGTCGCTTCCACGCCTCTAGATAGCCAGATATAATCTCTGGTTATATAGGTAGTCAAGTAGATAAACATCGTCGAAGGTGGGTATAACGCATTGCTCCGGGCATAAAGATGCATTTTCAGTTTCCAAAGGAACGTCTTCGACTTGCGCGCTGCCGTTTATCTAGAAAGCCATGTCTTTCAGAGAACCTGTTTTCCGATAAATATTCGATTTCTTATGCAATACGCATAGAAGATAGCTCGATAGGATCGAATCTTTCTCCGTTTCCCACCCCTCGTTTCCTTATCCCTCCCACCACAAAAAAAAATAGGTCCTAGCGTCTCCCCTCACGTGATCGTTTTTACCTCGAGACGACACACGTCCCACCGGCAACAAAGAAAGGAATGACGATGACACGGAAAAAAAAAAAATACAAAAAAAAATAGTCAAAACACGAATTCATTGAATACATAAGTTATTGAAATAATTCTCGAAAAATATATTCATCCATTTCGTTCGATCGCTTATGATAATAATAATAACAACGACAACAATAACATAAGCATAGGAGATGAAGACGTTGCACCGCACGATAACCATCCGAGACATTCACGACTGCTTTTCGACTATTTATATACCAGCCTGTACACATACGTTATACACGTTGTATTAGCATCTACGATGAATGTCAGCTTCGAAGAATCCTGCGTCAATAACGTTAACGAGCCCCTGACGTTTTAATATCAACGCCGAGACTTTCCTCTCGCTAAAACGAAAGCCCCGACGACGCGTTCGCGATGTCGCCTTGTCGTTGGCCTTCCCAGTGACAGAAAAAGGCAGGAGCGTCGTCACGGCAAAGTTTCGCCTTACTAAAGAAGGCAACGAACGGGGAGACCGGCAGTAGTCCTGTGCCATGCTCCAAGTAACGTATCGCAGGAAATAGGAACACATGGAATTCCCAAAGCGGGTTTCCTTACGGTAACGACCGGGTACACCTAATACTTCTGGCAAGAGGCCCAACTGAGAGAAAGTCGTTGGTCGCGTGGGCCGTAAGGCCCCGCGCGCACGTTCCCGTCCGCTGTACCGAATCTGCTTACCGATAAAATCAGAGCCCACGATATCGATCAGACCCCATCGTTCAAGCCTAATAGACTCTAGGCCCTTTTTCAGCGTTCCTCCTTACATGCCGAACCATGTGATTTCAAATGATAATCGGTACACAAAGTTACTGAGGTAGCCGATGAATAAGTTATGCATGGCATCTGACTCTATGTGACTGGATGCTCTGATGCAAGTATCCGCCAGTGAAATGTCCATTGGCAAAACACATTGGATCAGCGATATGGGATCTTGGTCTTTCGAATAAGTGGGAATTGAAATGAGAGAACGAGGAGGTCGCTCTTACGAAATGCCTTTATAACCACATTCCTAAACTCCTCTCCTACCACGGTCACACTTAATCCGTATCTCCTTGCGGTCGACGTGAATTAAACGAATATTCATATCCCTTGATGTAATAAGACGGTATTATGATTTAAGATTGGGTTCTGAACAACGCGTAGGCATTACTAACAGCAGTATTCGTAGTGCGGTGGAGTATCAAAGGAATTCGTAATTCTGCTTTGTATTTGTCCTAGCGAATCTGACGCATGTAAATATTTCTATGTGTTTGTATATATATATATATATTTTTCTACGTAGTACAGGGCGTCGCGTGGTCCAGCGCCACGTGGTACCAGCGTGTTTTCATCGTCGGATCCAACGATAAGATTTGTGAAACGACACGCGAGAAGGTAACGTGGTTTGAAAAAAAAAAAAAAAAAACTATGTAGCATGAGAACGCCGCGACAGGAGGCGGGAATAAGAAGTTAAACGTGTCCAGTGAAAAGTCCACGCATGATGTACAGTGTGAGGGAAGAGAAATACAAAAAAAAAAAGAAGAAGAAGGAAACCAAGACTCCGACTTCGTAGCGTTGGGTTCCTTTCTATAAATCACAACGATAATCCCAGAAAATTATTATTCGACGGTCTCTTCTCTTTTCACAGCTGTTTCAGCGGCAGCTGACGGTTCTCGAGATCGGTTAGGAGCGTCGCAGGCCGGTACCGAGTTGCGGTGTACCGGAGTGGTAGGAACGTGACTGATCGGTACGATCAACCCTGGAGAAACTGGAATAACGATAACAGAGAGGGAAATGGAGATCGGTTTGAACAGATGGGTCGTAAAGTTGGTAGCGACGGAGCGCAGTGATACCATTATGGTTTGTATTAGGAGACGACAGGAAACCGTGAAACAACAAGAAGTGATTGAAGGCCCTGAAAGCACTGTATGGGAATGAGATAGCACGTGGATCCTGAGGTGGCTTTACTTATCCCTAGGAGAAAACCCCGGACAGTGTGCATAGGTATATAACAGGGAACTGAAAAAGAGAGGGAGCAAGTGTGCTCGACGTCTGGCCAAACCTGGCACGAAACAACGTCACGTTTCTAGCGCAGTTTCGCCCTCGAGCTCCATGCACTGTTTGCTCGCTACGTGTACCGAAGTGAACCCCAACCCCGTCTTGCAATTATTTCGCTCGGCTCTAATTAATTCGGTGATACCATTAACGGCTGCATTTCATGTTGTTTTCGTCACTTTAATTCACTCTGGTAAAAGTGCATTATGTAAGATTGATAAGGAGGAACGAGTCTATGGATATATGAGATTACGATATTGTTCCACGGGAGAATTTATTTCCCTCGTGGAATATTAGTGACAAAGACATCGAGGACCCGAGAGACAAAATAGCTACGGTATCCGATAGCCCGGATTATCGAAGACATACTTGAACCGTGCAACCCTTGTTCGGTTCTTCGTGGCCGATAAAAAAAATGCCAGACAATTCTGAGTTGAGATTTTTCGAGATAACCCGTAACGTGGGTACACGAAGAGACTAGGGACAGAGTAGATAAGAAAGATTTTTTTCAATTGATAACAATTAAAGGGATCAGGTGGGATTCTTTGTGAGTCTGACTCGCTGACTGGAAAAGAAAACGTGTACTTTTCATTGTGGCTAATTTGGAATGTAAATAAATTTTAGTTGGTATAAAAGAAATTTATCTACCTGTAGGCTGAAAAGTGTGTAGCGTTCTTCGCCTCCTGTCCTCTCGTACGTGTGACAGTTCTGTCCTCTTCAGGTACTCTCTGTGCGCCCTCTCGTACTCAGCCTGACTCACGTTCGCCTGAAACAAAAAAAAAGCCGAGTTCTTGTTACACCTCGTGTCAGAGAAAAAAATTACAACTTTCAAATCAATCCAGTACTCAATTAACAAACGGAACAAGCATATCACTTTATTCTCCAGATCCAATCTAACTTCGTTGATCCACTCGGTATCGACATTACAAGATCAATAAGAGCGTATAAAGTCCTAATCGATATCACGATGTAGAAAATATTCAAATAAACGCACAAGCCAGATGGACCAGCGTACCAAACGTGAAAAGAAAGATTACCAACGTGACAGCCCCACGAGTCAAGTTCTCAAGGTACACGGCACGGGCGCGTGAGAAGGTCGCAAAATCACGTCTATTTTTGGTAGCCACGTACGAATGTCCGGTTGCGGGGAAAGTACGCGAGGGACGTGAGCGCCATCACAGTAAAGAAAAAAAAGGCACGAAAAAAAACCGAGAAAGATAAAGTTAAAAAGAAAGGAACAACCGAAGTTGAATGAAGATCAAGATTCAAATATGTGAACGATCTTTTCACGGATATCATATTGTACACGATTCGAATAAGCCTCGTCAGCAGCGTCTTCTTCAACACTGAAGTTGTTGACATGCTACTCAAAACAAGTTCCTAAGGCCAGCACAGGGTCGAAACGAGATCTCCATGTGGAAGATGTGTCCTATGCCGCGACGGTGCTGCCGTTCCTGCCACTGATGATTTATGATAGAAGCATACGCAAGTGGCGCTCGCCGCGTGAACTTTCGGTACCTCCCTGTCCCCTACCCATAGCCGTTAATTGATTCCCAAGAAGCCGTCGAGCGTCCGACGGTAATTGGCTTGCGGCGTGACTTCGAAATTATCTAATTTTCTGGGGTCACGACGTCGCACTCCTCCTACGAATAGCCCCCATCAATCACTTGCTCCGCGTTCCAATAGCACGTTGGAAATGGACCAGACTCTGTAAGTCGATTAAAGATTTCGTCAACTTATCACGGTAAAAAATGTATTTGCCCACAATAAAATGTATATACGAGAGCAATGGCAAGAGCGTAGATAAAAGTTTCGGTCCAGTGCTACTTTAAGTGAATAAATAGGAGTGATTACAAAGTATAACAAATCCTCTGTGTCATGCGTATATATAAAGACATGTATCTCATATACGAATAATTATATGAGTCATCTATATTAGAGGTTATTTGTCTCGCCTTTCATTCCTACGCGTCCCCCATCTCTCTCTCTCTCTCTCTCTCTCTCTCTCATCTCTTAAAACCAAAAGCCGACCACTGACCAGCTCCAGGCCAGCCCTTAAAATCACTTAAACGACCAAGCTAATTTCGCTTAAACGACCAAGTCTCCGCTTTGCAGTGTCGAGTTTCGCTCGTGGGGATGAGGAAAAGTAAAAACCGCCTGCAGAACGGAAGCGCGTCGTTCATTCGCTAATAGCCGAGAAATAAGGAAAGTGTACCACCCGTGAAACGCACTTTGAAAGTCAGTACGAACTTCCCGCGTATCCCTGTCACTTTTGCACGAAGTGGATCAACCAAGACGGATACAATACAGACGATGATCAGGCGTTTCGCTACCAATCGAGTCTATGGATGATCGGAGAACTATTATAGGAAGTCATGGTCCACGCTCTTACTCAGCTTTCACGACGGATGGAAAAATCGATAATCAAAAATCGAATCAATAATAAGAACCCCCCCGTACACATACAAAAACAAAGTCAATATTTAACATACTCGAAAGCATACCTAATTCCAACCCATAGCATACACCATAGCAGGTAAAAATGATATAAAAAAAAAAGATGAAAAAAAAAGTCCAAAACCGGAACGCAACTTCGACAACTTGTCTTTTCCTAAGAGCCAACCGGCCCTCCCGACCCGTTGGGCGAATACGCAAACACGCGACACACTTTTTGTACCTGGGACATTCGTTATAAATTTGCTCAACCTTCGTTGCACGGTGGTCCACGTGAACCGTCCATTGTAAACTGACCACATTCACGTGACGTATACGTTACAGTTGTGCAAGGACGCGTCGCCAGGTACATCGGCATGGCCGACAGAACCGGAAGTCACCCTGAAAAGTTTAACGAGAGCGATATCGCTCGTCCGAGGAATCCGGTTATGCGTGAATAGGCACGCCTGTGTATATAGATATTTTGCACGCGATATACATATATACCATATGGAGAAGGGGATTTCCCAGAGGAATGTTTATGATGAATCGTTAAATATATTCCTAATGATACACTGTCAATTATTATATAGGTAAATCACTATTGGACTGCTGATATACATACATATATCACGTACGATGCTCTTACACTTAAACGATATAGTGAATTTACGTCTTGTTAGTCAGCGAGGTGATACAGTAGAGATCTAGAAATGGCAGAGGAATGAAGAGTGAGTTAGCGTCAATGTGGATATAAGGATTCACAAGCTTTTAGTGCCTGTGACGTAATGACTTAAAGAGCTCCAGTCCATTGGAAGATTCTAATTATAGATTAATAGTGAGTCAGTATGATATATATATGCGTATAAATATGTTAGAAGACAGTTTCCAGGACTTTTTTTTTTTCTTGTGTCTTGGCAGTTTCCAGAACATTTGACATTTTCCAGGGTGGTCCTGGAAAAATCCTATATGTAACGTATACTTTCAGGGCCGTTTGGCGGCACTCACACCGAATTTTTCAAAAAAATTTTGATGTTGGACACTCGGAATCGCGATGGGCCAAGAAATAGTTCGTTAGGTTAGATTAGCTTAGAATTTCAATGCCATATGTCCTAAGGTTTAGTATATTTTTTTATTTAGAAAAAAAATACATTGGCTTGCCGTTGTGAGTGCCGCATACCCTCGAAACTGCCCGTCGACATATTTATATATATAAAGTATGTTTTATTAAATCATCGAAAAAGTGCATATGTCCTATAGATATATTCATATTTAAATATAAGAATATTTGTAGCAGGAATCGCACAATATACAAACAATATATGTATTAGAATTCTTATGGTTGACTACAACGACACCAGGTACATAGAGTTTGTTGTAGACCGAAACGTATATTGCTACCGTGCAAATCTGAGTTGTCAGTAAACTTGACGACTTGACTGTCTATTATGCGTGTGTTTTATGTAATGATTTATTAAGCGGATAATGTCATGTTCATGTGTGCGCGCGTGTATATCGATAACATCGAAGAAAATAACCCTCGAGATTTCAAGCCGCTCCCACGTAATCGAAGTCACGATAACCGGTAACGATCGTAAGGGTCTCCTTGGTGCAGGTGATAACCGAATGTATACAAGGATCCTCCCTAGATAAAGATAACGAATGGAACATTTCGAGTGTACAAGGGTTATCCGATTTTATTCGAATAGTTCAAACGATCCGAACTTCGTGAGAATCGATAACAACCGTTAAAACTTTACTACCTGTCCCCCGTGCTGTGCTCAGAATGTTCTTTAATGTTTACAGTGCTTCCTCGGTCGTGAATCGTGATTAAAGACGAACGGTCGTACCGTAATGTCACAAGGCGATACCGAGAGGTTAACGATTGGCGTTAGGTCAGTTTGCCGTAACTAAACGTTAAATGATATAGAAAGCGCGAGATGAAAAAGTAAAGAACTGGCACGAATATCGTACTGTTCCAGAGGACCCCGGATGCTCCGGAATTACATTACCGTAACGTTTCATGAAGCAACCCGGTATTTCCCAGTGACATTCTCCAGGCATTCGCAATGCGCATGCGCATACCAGCAGCACTCTATTAGGTGCCTACGTAATTCGCTAAATCGTTATTAAATTGTAATGCCGCGGATTCGCATTAATTCTCATATATATATATATATATATATATATATATATATATATATATATACATATATATATTACATATAATAATTATTATTCTCCTTCTCATCAGGCATACAGTGCTTCTTTAGGACTTTTAGCTCATTAGTGGGACACCTTAAAGCCTGGTCTTACGGAGTCGCGTTTCGTCTCGTTCCTTACGGTTCCGTTTCGCGTGACGAAACGGTCCCCCCCCCCCCCCCC